TAAAACAGTAAATAAATTAATATAAAAATTAATATAATTCTATTTATTTAGACATATTTAGACTGAGTTGAATTACACAAATAATGGCAATTCTTTTTAGGCAATACACATATGTATATGTAAATGCATAAATATATATATCTTTTTTTATATCCACAGACAGAAAATCCGAACAATGAAAGGCCGTACACTTTCAAGGACTTCCTGTTGCACCCGAGAAGGTTAGCCGGAGATTTTACTGCAGTTTTTACTGCCTGAATACCTGCATGCTTTACTCCCCAAACATGATGGTTTTTAACCTAACGCTCACAACTCTGTTGTTGTTGTTGTGAGAAGCCCTTTGACCTGCTATGACATCACGTAACTGTGAACTGTTTTGATTTCAAACATGTACATGTCAACACTTCTGATACACTTCAGTGGAGTTTTATGTTTAAAACGATGTTTTTCTGGTAATTTGATGCAGGTCTTTTGTTGATGTGTTTGTTTAACCGTTTCGATACAGTCACAAGTCGAGGGTGAAAGGTCATCTGCGACTGAAGATGACTTACCTGCCCAAAAACAGCGACACGGAGGACGACCCAGCCGAACAGAACGAGAATCTGGATGTAAGAACGATGCACACAAGCACAAGCTTTGGTGACAAACACAACATTTTCATTTTAGAATCACAGAATGTTCTTTAAAAGAACTAGAAAATGTTAAAGTTGCAGGAGGGAGCTGAAGGATGTTGCTCGTCGTGTTCAGTATCAGTATTCACAATATAATGCGGGTGTATGTATAAAGTACAATTGTGACCCTGGAGCACAAAAGCAGTCTTAAGTCGCTGGGGTATATTTGTAGCAATAGCCAACAATACATTGCATGGGTCAAAATTATAGATTTTTCTTCTATGCCAAAAATCATTAGGATATTAAGTAAAAATCATGTTCCATGAAGATATTTTGTACATTTCCTACTGTAAATATATCAAAACTTAATTTTTGATTAGTAATATGCATTGCTAAGAACTTCATTTGGACAACTTTAAAGGTGATTTTCTCAATATTTTGATTTTTTTGCACCCTCAGATTCCAGATTTTCAAATAGTTGTATCTCAGCCAAATATTGTCCTCTCCTAGCAAACCATACATCAATGGAAATATTATTTATTCAGCTTTCAGATGATGTATAAATCTCAATTTTGAAAAATTGACCCTTATGACTGGTTTTGTGATCCAGGGTCACAATTGATGATTTCCAGCAGCTTTGAATGTGGCTCATCTGGTCTGATTTGTTTATGAGAAGTACCTTTAGTGATGTCGTTTGCAGCAGCGCCTCCTGCAAGTATTTGTGTTGGATGGAGAGGCAATGAAAGCATTTTATATTCCTCTTCCATCTGCACTTTCTGTCCTTGAATGAAAAATGCTTTGTTTCCTTAAGCACAATTCTGCCTGATTCACAAAGCTTTTCAGACAGGTTTTGACCTTGCGCTGGGTTTTATTTCTGAAAAAAAATGACAGATAGACAGACTTTATATGTCCTTAAAGAGAAAATCTGAAATTATGATTCTCAGTTACATTTAATATTTGTGGCAGCTGCATTTATTTGTATTTGATTCTGTTGTTGAATTTAATGTGAATGAAGTTTACTTATACAGACATCACTATGACTATTGTTATATTTGTTTTTAGTAAATCAAATATAAATTTTGTACTTTTACTAAGAAACATAAGATCATGTAAAGATATTACCTTTAAAGTCAGGGTTTTTATTTTATTTATACTTTTATTTTATTTTATTCCGTTTTTTTTAGGTTGGCATGGATTTCAGATGTCTAATTTTTTCATCAGTTTTATTTTATTTTATTATTTTAATTTGTTTTATTATTTTAATATTCTATTATTTTAGGTTCACAATGACCTCAGATGCCTTATTTTATTTATTCAGCAGCTTTTTATTTTATTTCATTTCATTTCGTTTTATTTTATTTGTATTAACCAGGGATATTATTGTTAACGAAAAGTAAAAAAAAAAAAACATTTTAAAACATAAAATAACTTACAGTTTTTTACGATTGCTTAAGCACAATTTTGAAAACAGGGCCCGGTTTGTCAAAACACTACACACAATTAACACAACCCTACACCAAAGTAGCACAACACTTCAGATCATTTGCAAAATGGAACACTTTTGTCCAAACACTACACAAGACCAATGCTGCAGACTGACGAAAATATCATTAATTTCTCTCCATATACCCAAATCAGTCAACATGGAGAATCATAACAAAACATGTCCCAGTTGTCATGCTACTACAGTAGTGTGCATCTTGTTTTAGTTCAACTAGTTCCCATGGAAACATTTCTCATTTTCATGTAGTTTAACCTGATGCACTAAATTAACTAAAATTTAAACTGAAATAAAAAATAGTAAAAACTATATAGACATAAAAAACTAATGAAATCACTAAAATGCACAATAAATTACTAAAACTTTAACAAAAATTAAAGATAATATAAAAATAAAAACGAATTCAACCTGTTAATAAAAACTCCAATAGAATCTCATTGATACTAAAATAACTAGTGACCAATATTTAAATTGGGTCACTAAGCTACCATTCAGCAACCACATATCAAAACCCTAGCAATGATCTCGAACATGCTAGCATGATGGCAGTGAGTTTTACACAGGAAAACACCACTAAAAATGAGGTTTTGTTCTTTTTTTCTTTTTTAACTAGCATCGCGTGTTATCAGGTTTCCAAACAAAAGAAACAAAGCCCTCGACAAACTAATGACATTTGTTTTGTGCATAAACAAATGTGTTATACTTATACACAATAACTTTAATATAGAACCAGCAGAGTCACTGTGTACTTTTCCAGCCGCTCTCATTGTACGAGTGCCGTGTCGGCTTCAGAAATACAGGCGTGATTTCAGACGTCCAAAACTCGCTCAGAAGTGCTGCCAACACCAGATTAAATGGAGATTAATCGTTCCTGAATTCACAGTCCTGGTCACGCCGGTCCGGGTTGCTCCAGAGCGGCTGTTACATGAAATTTGCATACCGTAAAGTCACTTAGTTACCAGCCATTGAACTACTTTTCATGCAAAGTACCATTTGATCATACCAACAAACATGATTTTCCAATAGAATTGCATGCAAGAAAAGTAACAGCCCTGTGTGTTAATGCTCTGCTCATTTCTGTCTGGTAGCCTGGTTGGGAGTTTTTGGAGCCTCATGAATTATGCAGTCCTCACCATCCTCACCAGCTGCCTGCGCTGCCCCCTGGCTGGGAGGAGAGGCAGGACAACCTGGGACGAACCTACTACGTCAACCACGAGAGCAGGACCACCCAGTGGCACAGACCCACCATCCAGTAATGATCACCTACTTTAAACAAACACACACATGATCAACACACGTTAGAAACATGCATACACAAAACCAACGACATTCACAAGTCCAATACGCTATGTAAATATTTGCATTGATCTTTTTCGTTCATTCCATTTGGCACATGGTTTTATTCAAAGTGACAAGATTTTTAATTAAATAATGACAGTTTTTTTGTTTTTAAATCAAAGATAAAATTTTTATAGTTTCTATTTGTTATTTTATATAGTTTATTTATTTACTATAATAAACTTGCCATTAATATAGCTGTGGTAGCTGGCATGATGCTAAATTATAATCAATCAATCAATCATATTCAAAATGACACGACCCCGTGACCTTGGTGTTGCTAGGGTCATGCTTAACTATCTGAATCACATTGTGTACTATAATTACTGTTAAATCGGTTTTTAGTACATCAAATATACATTTTGCACTTTGACTGAGAAACTAAAGGCCGTTAAGACTTTACCTTTTAAAAGGTCAGTATTTTATTATTTTTATTTTATTATTTAGTTTTAATTAGTTTTGTTTTATTTTTATTTTATTCTATTTTATCTTTATTTTTAGTATTTTATTTTACTTTTATTTTAATTAAATTTTTTCTTTTTTTTTCTTTCACTCTATATGTAATGTTTCATTTTGTTTTATTTTTGTTTGTTTTCTGATTTATTTTGTATTTATTTTTAGTATTTATTTTGTTTTGTTAATATATTTTATTTTATTTCGTTTTCTTTTAGTTTTTCCCCTTTCACTCTGTGTGTGTGTGTGTGTGTATATATATATAGTTTTTGTGACATGCGTTTGTTTTTTGTAGAGTTTTATTTTTTTTTAGATTGATTTTACTTTATCTTTATTTTTTGTGTTTTATTATATTATATTTTATTTTATTTTATTTCGTTTTCATTTTAATTTTAGTTTACTTTTATTTTAATTTTGTTTGTTTTTTTATTTCAAAAATCATGAAAAAAACAACTCGGGAGTTTTTATAACCAGGATATAAACAAATAATTTAGAGCCTCTAAATAAAAATGTTTGTAACCGTGTATTTGTTTTGTATAGTTTTTAAGGAAACAATCAGCAGGCCATTACTCCCTACACAAAACTCTGTTGAAGTCAATCATCCTGTTATACATAAGACAGGCTTCTTGTTTCCGTCCTCTGCTCTCTGCTGGTCAGCGGCACCCTCACCTGCTTCATTTGAGTCTTTCTGAGCACTGAAGTGTGTGTTTTGTCCTGATTTACAGGGACAGTCAAAGAGACAATGAACAGAGACAGGATACACACATCGAGTCCCAGCGGGCGTTCCTCACACGCAGACAAATATCAGAACACAACGAGAACCACGAGCGCAGAGAGTCACCTGAGGTACTCGCGCGCACACACACACACACACTCACACACACACACTTTCTTCGAAACTCCCTGACAAACGACACACTTTCACATCTGTGTGTGTGTGTGTTTTGTAGAGCTGGGAGATCATAACGGCAGATGAGACCACGCTTTATAACAGTCACAGCGAGCGCTCGCCGCCGCCCCCCCACTCCCCGATGGAGTTCACGGGATTCTGTGAGGAGTTCAGCAGACTGCAGACTGGAAACGACAGACGCACGTCCCTCACGGTCAGTCCACACACACACACACACACACACACACTCTAATATACACACACACTCTCTCTCACACACACACACACACACACACACTCTCACATGCACACACACACACACACACACACACACACACACAGGTTTGTTTTTGTGAAAAGTGGGGACATCCCATAGGCATAATGGTTTTTCTACTGTACAGACCGTATATTCTATTGCCCTACACCTAAACCTACCCCTTACA